GATCATATCCTCTGAACTAAAGGAAGCTGATAATAAGCAGTGATTGTTCCCGAATTTATAAATTGAAGCATTTGTCAGCAAAGAGGAAAACAATCAAAATGACCATTTTATGAGTCTTCTGATGCAAAATTGTATCATCCGCTCAGAACGCATTTGTTGAGAAGCGCAGTTGGACTGGCAAAAAGATAAACGAATAAAAATTACGGTTTTCAGAACGGCTTATCACAATTTATTTAACTGATAGTATCGCTGAATATACCTACTAGTTTTTTTTTTTTTTTAAAGAAAAATGTCACAATATCGATTATTGGCTGAGAAGCGTGATGTTGTTTGAGATGTTTCATATGTGTCCATAACAATAGCTAAGATATACATTTATTTAAATAATCACTATTAATAAAAATGGAATTGATATAAATTCAACTCGTTGATTTCGAAAGCAGTACAATAGCTTTAAATTTTAGTGATAATATCACTAACTTAAATATCATTGACTGGTAAAAAAAAATACATTAATTTAAAAAAATTTAATAATGTAATGCCTTTAACAATTTGAAATAAAATTCGTCCACTTTGCACTAATAAAATATTTTAAGAATCAATATTCTTCATATCTACTGATAACTATTATCAGTAGAACTTTACTAGGAAATTCATTATCCTGCTCTACAAATTTTGAAGGTACCATTAAAATATAGGCTTTCAAATAAAATTTTAAGAGGGATATTACGACAATTTCTATAAAATGTATAAAAAAATTTAATTTTTAATTAATTGACCACTGCTTCTATATTCATATGTTTCCTGGTTGTCGGTGAATTGTTGCGAGAGCAACCATCACGGATTGTAGATAAATTCGAAGCTATAATTGAAATAATATAAGAAGCTATCATGACCTTTTGTCGAATCCATTAGTTCATTCCAATAAACGTTTGATTCAGCGTAGCAACGAGAATAGATTGAAGAGGAAGAACGAACCGGCCAAGAACATGCGGCAAATTTGCAATAATAGCTCCATATTCATTTACATTATCATAGATTTCAAAAAGCGGAGCTGCGATCAATAAACTATTCTTCGGAATTGTAAATACTGCACTCTTAGGAAGATTAACGGCGATCAGTTTTATCATCTCTTTTGGTTTCGTGATATGTGAAGGAATATAAGGATACTAAACAGGAGCCTTTAAAGTTATTATATAGATTGAATCACATAAGCATTTCCTCAAAAACAGAAGTGTGGTGGTTGAAATGAAATGAATCGAAAAATTGACTGCGCTTAAAATACTGACTACTGAACTGTAAATGATGATACGATAGGATTCATAACGGTAAATTTCATTTTATACTTCATTCACTGCCTTTCTAAGAAATCAGAATCTCGGAAGGTAACTTACAATTTCTTTTTCAAAGTTGGGACGCCACCACTTTGCAACAACATGCCGTACTTTGCAAATTGCTTCTGCGCTTTCCTCTGTAAGTCCCATAACCTGAAAAGTGGACAATATGTGAACTCAGTGGGACATTTGTCCTTGTCTACTTGAGCTGAAATAACAAAAACTTCACTGCACCTGAACCAATAATCGTTTCATTCCGTCAATTTCATCTTCATCGGGATAGAGCGATACCGTTGGCCTGTAAGTTAATACAGTATATATGCTTTTTAGTTGGTAGCAAGTTTGTGTCGCTATAGAAAAGAAGCAAAGCATACAATTTCGACCAGTTTTGTGTTTCATCAGTTTTACTTTTTATGACCAGTACGTGAACAGCGGAATTTTGGTAACCCAGTAATACAGCCTTTATCGTACGAATCATCCCATCATTTTCATATTCTCTCCGCAATTCCAAACACTGCTCATCCTCCGGTGATGGTGGAGGATCAATTTGATCACTGTTTTGTATGGAGTAATTCATCAAAGGATACCGAAAAAGATATATATAATGGTTATGTTGGCTTAAGAAGAGAGAGCAATTTTTTCTTTTTAACTTTTATCGAAGGACCAATACTAACTATAATTCTAAATATAATTCTAAATAATTCTAAATTCTAAATTATCATTTATAATAAATTAATCTAGTTTATCTCGTTAACTTACAAGCTAATAACGCTGTCCAAGGTTTGTTGTTCACCATTATGCGCAGATGATTGAAATTCGTCCCTATCGGACATCATTGAGAATTCCTAAATAGCAAGCAACAGACAACCAACCACTTAACTGTTTAAATGAAAAATTGTTACACTCAAATAATCCAAAATGATACCCGAAATAATTTGCATAATTTACTTGTTCATGTTATCCTCCATTTCACTTCCTCTATCCATGTCTGGAACCGTGAATACAGTGTTTTATGCAAATTACATTTCGCAAAGTAAGAAAAATTTTTAAATCTTTTTTAAAATAACCTACGACTTCATTTCTTTTAAGGGCTGTAGTGATTCCCCTTGAATTAATTAAAAACTAAGAATTCTTAGGTTTTAATTATTTCCTTTGTCAAAAATCAATAGTGGCTAAGCAATAGAAATCGTGGAGCGCTGATTTTTCAAACTTTATTTTAATTAGTAGAAAAAAAGTTTGAAAATAACACCAAAAATAGCTTTGCAGAAAATACAATTCGAGAATGCTAAAGGAAAAAATTGACAGAAAGAATAGCTTTATTTGTAATATAATTTTATAAAATAAATTGCTAAAACAAATATAAAATACACACACTGTAAAATATATCATAACTGATAGTTAACCCAATACCTATATAGATGCCAACAGCGCACAAGTATCGAAATTCAATATAAAGTCTACTTTTATTTTTATGAAGCTTGGCCAATGTTGCTTACAATTAGGCAGTATATGATATCTTTTTTTGTGCCAATTGCCGGTGAGTTAAAAATCATATATTGCTAACGAGTTAAAGGTCATATATTCTAACCAAATTACCAATATTTTCTTTCTGTGATTTGTGAAGAGACTGTTTGCCCTACTCATCCACCAGGCGTAAATGTCTCAATGTCAGTATTGGCAACATAGCCGTGTTTTAAAAGTTTTCAGTTCGGAAATTCTTAGCCATAATCATTTGTTATCAGAGAACGATGTTTTCATCTTGATATCTTCGATATTTTTTGATTTATATTAATTCATTATGCTTTCCCAGAACGTTCGGAAGTTATCAGATTATCTTGTATGTTCTTTCATTTCCCTTCTTCCCATATAACAAATTAATTCTACTTTTATTACCATTAATTGTAATATGATCTTTAAACTGTAAGTGATTTTTAAATCATTTTGAAAGTCATTATTCAATCTCTTCTCGTGAATAACTTTTAGTGAATGTATTGCAAAATTTTTATAATTTTTTCATTTCTAAAGCTACCTGTGCAACAATGATTCATCGTCACCCAACATACATCGATTACACAATTAATCGAAGATTGAAAAGGTGCAACGATCGCTTCTTTCATTTTCTTTACTGAGAAAACGGATCGTCAACAAATTTCAGTTTACCAAAAAAAAAAGATTCTAAGAATATTGTCAACGTTGTTTCAACTGCTAGTCTATTGCTGCTCCTACAAATGACAGATTCCGTCACTTCTATCATGCCTTATATTACTGCTCTATGCTTAAACATCAGCAATCATAGGAAAAAATAATGGATTGATTGTCACTATTAGATCATTTATTGGCTATACTTACAGTGAGGGTTGCTATCGCGACAGGTGCAATTTACACAAGCAGGCAATAAATACTAGAAAGTGACAGCATACCATATCTTAATTACCTGTTTTCTTTATTGTATGTAGGAAATATTTGATTTATAACGAATTGCTAATTAATTAAATTGGTTAGAATTAAAGTTTGATTTACCAAGTGGCAGTATTGTTTTCAGTGATTTCCATAAATTACAGTTATCGCTATCAAACATAACCAATTAAACAGTGCTAGTGTCAAAAAAAGCAAACAGAATGGAGACTTTTCAAATGGTAATTTCATATTTATGATTGGAAATCTTCCATGTCGTTCAAATTGAAGAAAAAAAGGCTGGCAAAAAGCTAGCATTGCTCTGTTGTCATTTTGCTTTCAATGAATTCAAAGTGCTGCATCTTAGACCACATCTTAATTCAATCCACTGCAACCTCAGCACTCAGGCCCATTTTTCCTTTTCATTAACAGGCCGCATTATGGATTCGACCGACCAATACTTTACGACTGGACGTCAGGATTCTGAAGACGCAATAGTGAGGAAAATTCTTGCGTGTAGTGGTAGAGTTTGGAGTATGCATGTACTGCGGAACGTCTCGAAACTGCTATACGTCGACTAGATTGAATAACTAAGTTCCGTTCTGGGAAGATTTTAATCGGCAGAGATCAAAATTTGCCGTATCACCTCTTCGTTACACTGTTCAGTTCATCTGGTAGTTAAATAATGATTTTCAGGAGACGCGTATGAAGTGTCGTCCTCTTCGACATCGAATGGGATTATTTGACAAGGATTTCCGCAGTATTATCCAGCTTGGCCTGGGCTTCATGTTGATATTTTCAGCCTTCACTAGCCATGGAATGATTGAGGTTAGTAGGCTTTTGTGTTTATATGAAAAGACAGGTATTGCTTATATTGTGCGTATTATCTTTCAGCGACATACTTTTTTATTCTCAAAAGAAATTCTATCTGCTTAAATCGTTTCCTTATTCTTAGATTGCTATTCTCAAAAATATTGCTGAAAAACATCCGACATCAGGTATAACCGAGCAATCTGGTTATTATAGGTAATTTTTTATCCATTATTCTTGCACATGCAAATCAAATCGATTTTTCCCACTCAGATTGCCTGCACTTTTAGTGTTGTATAGTCAATATTACCAAAATACATTTGCAAGCCAAGCACGTTCATGTTTCTTCCGGATTATTTTCATCTGCTTTCAGCTCAGCTGCATATATGTAGCGGGTAGAAAAATTGCGGTTATCTCATAGATATTAGGAATATGTCGGTAGTGGCATGAATGATTATTATTTTTATAACTTGAGTTGAGTGATGCGTTCAATTAAATAAATAAACAATATCAATGTCATGGTTATAAGAATTGTTTTTGTATAAACTGGTATTTTTCAGCTTAGCTATCATTTATCTGACCTTCACATTTTCGAATTTTCTTGCACCTGCTATAATAAATGCTCTAAGTTCGAAATGGACAATGATTTTTGGAGCCTTGATGTACTTCATTTTTATGCTTGGCTTTATGTGTCTGAATGTATATTCTCTCTACATATTTTCAGCATTTACAGGCTTGGGTGCTGCAAGTAAGTAAAAAATACTAGTGAAGCTAGCAGTTAAATTTAGTTTTCATATTAAATTTGGAATCATTTGTATAGGACTATTTTTGAGATTTCTTCTATCGAATTTTTCATGTTACTACTTCACTGGTAAGTACCAATTTTAGTGATATGGACCGGACAAGGAGTCTATCTCACAACCTGGTCTCGGACTGATACTGTCGCACGTAACAGTGGCATTCTTTGTGCTATGCTGCAATCATGCTTCATTTTCGGTGGATTGTTTCTTCTTTTCATCTCCTTTTCAGGGTTCGTCCTTCAGATTGCTGTTAGTTTCTTTTGACTTTTTATCACTGCCTTCATGACTTGGGTGAGATCACTTCAAACTAAATAGTACATAGCATCATTTAGATTTAGACGCATCATTGTTTGCAAATTACTGAAAATCGGATCAGTGGTGAATAGAATTTCAGTTCTGCAACCGTTAAATAACTGTTCCATAATAGAATTATTTGCAGTTCTATTGTTTCTTCGGTGAATTTAATTTATTCAGTATTTTCTGTGATTACTTTTATTGGTATAATAGTATTAGCACTGCTTCCTGCAAAACCGAGTGGAGTGACATGTTCTACTGAACACACTGATGGAGAGAGGAATGAAGGTGCAATGGAAGAAGAAAACGGTGTCAGTATTGTTAATGGTCGAATTAATTTTGAAACGCGACCAATACGTGGTGCAATAACACCGCGTACCGTTGTTCTTTGGAAAGACGAATTCCGTTAGTTATATTTTTTTTAATTGCTAAAACATAAAAAAGGTATTATATGGTGCTGATATTGGAAGCTGACATTTTCATTTACTGTTTATTCTGATAAAAGTTCCAAATTCTCAAGATTTAAAAATTTTCAGGTTTGGAAGTGTTGAGGTGAGTTTGTAAAGTCAGGTTGATTTGCAGTCATAAAAGATGCATGGGCTTTTCATTTACTCTGTATTGTTTAAGACAATACACTTCGTGTGGCGGCCACTCGACGAATGTCCCTGCTCGCTATAGTGTTCATGTATATGGGTATAGAAATGACGTTTTACACTGGTATTTATCCAGCATGCCTTGCAGCATTTGGACAGTTGAGAGATAACGGTTTAGTTATTGCCTACAATGCTCTTGCTGTTGGAGGAGGGCAAGTCATCGGTAAAGTTCAATTTTGCTTCATTAGTAGATTTTGATAAAAGTTTGGTAAAAATGTCTCAATGTTCTTTTTTGTGAAGCTCCTGTTGTCTTTTTGGTTCACAGGTAGTCTTGCGTTTGGAGTTTTTGCAAATAGATTGGTTGCTTATGGTCGCAATCCAATAATCCTTTTGGGTACCATTATTCATCTGTTGGCATTCCTTTGTATTTTTTTAAATATTCCAATGGAAGCACCGTTGCATAAAACGTACGCGAAAGGTTACATTGAACCAAAGTAAGTTCTAAAAAATATTTGAAATACGCTTGTTAATAATACTGAAAATAACTGGTTTGAAGTTCCTAATTCTTATAGTTTTAGCTTCCTGTAGAAAAATAATGAGTTCTTATAATGGTCATATTATTGTCGGTTACTTCGAAAATGATATAGTTTGGTCTGCCAAGTGTTAAGCTCTGTTTTAAACTTTTTTTTTATTCTCTAATGATTCCACCGTTCCTGAAAGCTTTTATTTCACATTCACAATTATAGTACGGTGTGCATTAGTCGAACAAGAGTAAACTGTAAATTTAATATAATCAAGTTATTCGCACTTTTCTTGGTGTTTTAATTCATTTTCAGCTATTCATTAACCTTAATTTGTGGTTTTATGCTTGGTTTTGCGGAGAGTTGTTGGAGTACACAGATTTATTCACTTCTCAGTTCTCTTTATGCCACGAACAGTTCCAACGCATTTGCGCTTTTTAAATTTTATCAGGTATCATAAACGTTTTGAAAACTTTATCAAAGTGGATTATTAATTCTTTCTAAAGATTTAAAGGATAATATAAGGCAAAATATGTGTGCAGTCAATTACATATGCAAAATTTTAATTTGGGCAGAGATTTTTCGAGTCCTAGAGAATTGGTGCTGTGCTAGAATAGTAAAGTGATGTTAAAGACTTATTGAATTTCATTTATTGCTCTCGTATTTATTTATTTATAGATGAATAAAAGATTAGCCCTCTTGTTATTCTTTTTTTGCAGACAAGATTTAATATTAGGGTAATCATTAATTAGAGTGAAGCTCTGTTGTGTCACCTGCGGTAAAGGAAAAATCGAATGATTTTAGTCTGAAGTTCTGTTTCTTTTTTCATCCTATGGTTTACTTTTTATTCAACACAGCGATATTCTGAAGCGCAATGCATTGATGTCTCACGCCAGCATTATTCGTTTTACTTTTTTGTAGGGTCTTTTGACCATAGTTGCTCTAGCAAATATTCTTATATTTTGCTGATCACATGGCTATCATTCTTAGGGTGAATAAAGCGGCTGCAGTTTTAAGTATGTGACGGTTAGCCATACGGCTGTCACTTCTGATACGTTGTTTATTAATATTTGAAAAACCGTTATTGGTTTGTGAGTTTTTACATAGCGTTTGCTCTATAATTTTCTTATCTGTAATAAAAATATAAATTCTCTGGAGGTACGTTAAATGAATTATACAAATTGATTAGAACAAGTTTAAATTAACAAATTGTGAAACAATTTTCTTTCTATTGAACTGCTTCATGATTTCCTTCGAATTATGGATGCTTTATAGAAAAGAGTTTTGAGACTTCATCAATTTGCTTGCTAAATATACTTTGATAAATAAATATTCTGCTTTGATTTTTTGCAGTCACTTGCGGCTTCTATAACTTTCTTTTATGGATCGCTTCTGCTGTTGCATTGGCAGCTATTGATACTTGCGGTGGGTGCTGTATTGGCGGCACTCCTCTTCTTTCCAGTGGAATGGGAAGCGGTTGCATTCACTATTCCGCCACCAATTTTTCCGTTTTGAATTTCCATTTTTGAATTCATTATATTTTGTACTGGGATTGGCCAAATAATGTCGATCGAGCAAGTGCAGGCGAAAGTTTCATTCTTTTAAATTCTTAACTTATTTACTGCCAGCTGAGGATTTATTCCACATGAAGGGAAGTTCTAGCAGTGAGGTATCCCTGCTCACAGTCGAAGATGACATAACGAACATTTAAAGAGAAATATATTTGTGATCGCTCGATTTTCATTTCTTATCTGTCTCACAACTTCTATTGTTTATATGTAATTAACATAAAATTGTACAAAACGAATTGTATAAAAATGGCGCCGAACATTAAAGAAATTCTTATCTATTGTACTTTGCACACTGATTAAGTTTTTTGCCTCTTCAAAATTGATAGTGACAGTAGTCTCTGTCTAATTCAGTGAATAACATTTTCCATTTACATGGTCACGTTGCCATTTCCACTTAATTTATATGATCTCTCCGTTCCTATCTTGAACTTTTAAAAAGATAGTAAAACTTTTAAAAAGATAGTAAATAGATTTTATTTTTTTCATCCCATGTAATATAAATTAAATACCTTGATGTCTGTTGACGGCATAATAATGATAGAAAGATATGGGCAGGATCCGTATCATTCAATTCTTTTCCTCCGAGGATTATAGTGCTAATATCGTATCGATGAAATTTCCTAAATTCCATTGCGGCTTCCCTTATTTCATTCCATCCCTAAATTATGTACACTTCGATCAAATAATAGAAATTTTTGAGTAGTCTTTCA